CATGAAAGCACAGTAGATTCTTAAATTAATGTCTTTTTACAAATTTATTAGTCCAAAGGGATTTGAATCCCGAAGGACTATTAGTTTCGCTTTGGCATTTTGCGCCGGACGGATAAATGTCGGTTCACTTTTCAAACTGTTGCCATAAAATGTTAAGAGTCCTGCATTATATTTGAAGAAATTAAATAATGAAAAATCTGCGTAAATGTATGTATATTTCTCGTATTGTGATAAAACAACGGTAGAGTCATCGAATTTTGAATAACGTAATACTCCAACGAATATGAGCATGTGGAAGACCAAATTTGAAATTTGTTTTATGATCGATTTCCTATTTTTTAAAACTTTGACGAATTTTTGATTAACAAACTCATGGATTTCAAAGCGAGCACTGGATCTTATGATTTAAGTGCGAGGAACATGATATTTAATAAAGAAAGGTAACACACAAAATGTTAAAAAACGCCCCTTTGGACGTAATTTAAAATCTGAAACATTTCAGATTTTTTTTGTCTATATTTATTGGCTTTTTACAAAATTTTAAACGATATTAAAATGTATATGCCTTCAAAATTAAAAATTCTTAGAACTAACATTTGTTAATATTTTTTTATGTGTATACTGTATGATGTCGCCAATAAAGTCTGCTTGGCGAGATTTGCGCCGGCGAAACGGAAAAGTACCCAGACGGCATATGCTCATTAAAAAAGTGGTAGAAAAGTGAATAAAATATTTTATTTGCATTTCATAATATTATAAAAGTCACCCCCCAGCAATAAAAATACTTCATAAAATATATTTGTATTGGCTTTGTAAAATATTATTTCTGTTACACAAATGTAAACAGTATATAAAAGCAAGGTACTTGAGTATTAACCCGTCGACCATGCAGTGCGATTTAGTGCCAGCAGTGCCAAGCAATGCGATTTAGCGCCAGTTATGAATAAGCGTGAAGCAACAAAGCATTCGTAACATTGCCGTTCCTGTTGATGTATCGCCGTTATTCTGGACAAACCTTTTGTTATTATGAACAAGGATATAAATTAACTGTTATTGCTTTTTCTTTTCTCTTCCATTTTGGAAAAAAAAAAGGGGGTGGTTAAGATTTGTGACCTGCCTTCTACAGAACAGAAAAAGCAGATGATTATTTACAAAGCTGTGGGATTCTGCCATGCAAAATAGCGTGTATTATTGAACACGTTGTGATCAGCTGGAACAACGAAACCGGAAAATATTGGAACAATTATTTGAGGGAAGTTTGTTTCTAAACAGAGCTTCCGGCAAATTCGGAGAGCATAACAAAGTAGTAGAAGTCGATGAAAGCTAAAAACTAAGAAGGTCGAATACTGATTTTTTGAGAAATAAAGAGGTGCCAGTTCATTGCCCAGAAATGATATGCTTAAACATATTGGTTAAAAATGTAAAATGACAAACGCAGAGCTATTAACTATCCCAATAAAACTGAAGGTAACAGATTTTCTGTCACATCTCCGAGCAAATATACAATATTCTTGGTTTTCAATTTATCTGAATTCAAATTAACCCTTCTGGAAGAACTACTAGTTTTGAAGTGTGGGGGGGGGACTCTAGGAAATAAAAATGACGTCAAATTAACAGTTTAACTTTTCAATGAGGAATTTTAAATTTCAAAAATACGAGTATTAACTGCGTCACCTATGGCTACTAAGTTTTGAATACTTAGTTTCCACTTTAGCATATACACCTGGAAGCTCGAATTTTTAATTTCGAATTTTGTTCTTTTTATTTGTTTCGTGTTTTGTGCTTGTTGAATGAGCTTTTCGTTTGCAATTCAACGATTTGAAAGAAATATGTTGCTAAGTACGACGAAGTGTAAGATATTTGTCATTCACATTTAATCAGCAAACTCGACTATTTAATAAAAATACGTTGCCATTCCCTGAAATAAAATATTTTTATCTTTCACGCAGCAACATGTTGCCGTTCAGCAAAGTGCAAAAATATTTAATTTTTCTTCTCAATTTGATCTGTTTGTTACTGATAAAAAATCTAAATGTTTTTAAAGCAATAAGTGCAATTTTTTAATCTCTATTTACGTACCAGATTGACGTAGAATATTACATTAGCTTCACTCGGTAAAATTATTGTGCATTATTTCGTTCATAATAACTTATTTGGGCCAAATGACTATTAAAAGATGTAAAACATGATTAAAATTATTTTAATAAAAAGAAGCGGGCTGCTGTAATTTTGCGATTAAAAGCATGTATTTTAACAATTGATTTCAGAGAGGCATCATTTTTTAGGAGTCATAACACTATTAGGCAACAGTTTTAAATTGGACTTGTGAGACAACGCTTGAGCTTTGCACGGATATTGATAGGTTCATAATGATCTTAAAGATGTAGTATTTGAATAATTACCCAATTTACAATAAATGTTGAGATTTTAGAACTGGCAGCATCTTGTTAATGAAAATCGAGCTCTCCACAGCTAGTATTAATAATTCAGTTATTGAGTTTGTAAGAAAAATATTTATAAAATGAGAATCGCTTTTGAAATGTAAAACTTACGATCAAGGAACAAATATTCATTTGGAAGTAAAAAATTAGTAGTCTTCGGAAAATGACACTTTTTTCTAAAAGCCCAAAAGCGACGTTAGTCCCGAATGGGATATTAGGCTCGAAACTGCATTTCACTTTTCACGATTGTTGCCATCCAAAATTATCGCCCTGTATTATATTTAAAGAAATTAAATTATGAAGAATCTGTAGGAATGTATGTTTGTTTCTCGCACTGTGGGGAAAAAAAAAAAAAAAAACAGCGGTACCTAGGGCCATCAAATTTTGAATAATGTACTCCTCCACCCAAACATGGGCACCTGGAAGATTGAATTTTGAATTTCGAATTTGTTTTATTATCTCTTTCACATTTTATAAAACTTTAACGAATTTTTTATTAAACTAAACAATTTCAAGGCGAGCAATGGCAACACTGTAAGGAAAACAAAATTAACTGTGTTGCTGAATTATATACGGCGTAAGTGCAAAGAAAATCATGCATAATAATAAAACTAAAAAGATAGAAAAAAGCAGGCGTGAGTTAACAGCAGAGTGGTAGACTGCGAGCTCAGCGAGAGTGTAAAAGATTTTAACAAAACCCTTTTGGACGACCGTTAAAATCTGAAACCTTTCAGATATTTTGCATTTGTATTTTTTAAGCGTATTATTTTTGTTTTAGCATAATTCGTTAAAGCATATGAGCATGAAAGCAAACGTTTTCCGTTATGCTAACGTCATTGATTATATCAAATCTTTCACTGGTGGCTTTAATTTATATGCCATTATGGCTCTATGAGAAGGATTTAAAAGGGCAACGTGCCGCATTTGATAAGAAGGCACTGATTTTCACAATAACAATGCCCACTAGTGATCAAGTGAATAGAGCTGCAGAGTACTGGTAGCTCAGCTAATTTCCGAATCCCGGTAAAGGAGTTGGTCACATGGGTGTTTTTATATTTTCTTTCTTTGCGTAATTTAAATAGCACTTAGTTTCCTGCAGAAAGGTTCTCTACAAAGACATCCATTTAAGTAGATGGCACTCCTGTGCTTTGCGTATTCAAACAAACAGTATCTCTGCCGAACTAGGATTCCTTTGTTAGAATACCTAAGAACTAGGATTGCGCAGCTCTCAGACTTCCAAGCTGCCATTATAAATAAGAATGCCATTAAATGTTTAATAATTATCGTTATGTAAAAGATATTTACGCATAAAAATATTATTATTCTTTAATTATTTAGGATCAATCTATTCCGAATGATTTTCCGGTAAGAATTTATATAACCATTTGGAATTAAATTGTTGGGTTGTAATTAGCATTTCAGGTGAAAATAAAAATGAATTGTGTAAAATATTTGCTCGCATTTGACATAACGCAGATAACGATATATGTAAGATTAAGAAATATGACGGAAATTTATTAATAAATTAAACTTTAAATTTCTAATTTTTAATTAAAACAGTGCCCCTTCAAGGCGTCTGCATTCTTCCTGCATATCGGTATTGCTGTAAACTTTTGCCCAGTCGCTCTCTAGAACTAAAAGAATTTCCAAGCTTATAAATAGTACTGCAACTAGCTACGCATCCTCTCTTGCTGCTTACGTTTGATTGCTTCCTTGAGACAATGGTTTTTTGTCGTCATAAAGCATTGTGGTTTAAGGCATTAATTCCTTTCACACTTGTTAGCAGGCGTTAAGCCACGGCTAATCTGGAAAGGAAAAGTTTCGTATGTGTAAATGTGTAGCTGATTCCAGCGAAACCGTCGACCGATGTTTGCTTGGATGTGATTGGTCTGCTCTTATACCAAGTGGCATAAACTGAAAATTTAGGGTGTTTAGGAAAACCTTAAACCATTTTTTCTGTCTTAGCAAAGTCTGATTGCCTAGCAACAGAGCTCCGCTTAGACTGCTTATGATTTTAAAACCAAAGTGGGAAACAAGCTTAAAGGACGTCTCTTGCTTGACTATTCATTAATAAAAATGTAATGCATCATAAATTTGTGGAGTTCGCATTGCCCGCATTGTGTTGTGCCATACGATAGAGTAATGAATGAATAATAAAGATATGTTGGTTTATCAAGTGATTTTGTAGTTCTTCAAAAGTTCCCGTTATCTCCTACTACGTAATCGATATTTCACTGTTGTTCTAACATAAGTGCACTCGTGATTGTAGAATAACTGGTGTAATAATATTAAAGACCTTCACACAAAAAATCCTTTTCATCTCACGTGAAGTTATTTTCGTCTTCTGTAGATAAGCAAGTTACATCTTGTTACCTAATTTATTATAAAACCTCCTTTTTTGTGTGTGTCAGAGAGAGAGAAAGAAAAACAAAAATCATCTTAATATGCTCTTACATATAGTAACTATCCACATTTCTTCTGTTGCAGTATTGTTAATGAATTAATATTGCATTATAAATAGTATTAATAACAGCAGTGCAGCTTCTTTTCCATTTTCAGGTGAAGATTCGCTTTCTTTACAGGTGTCTCTGCACAGAATTCCACGAACAAAAGTAAGTGTAGTTTACGTTGTTCAGAATTCAAAGTTAATAGCCTGCTACGATTATTTTGTGCGGTTTTGGTTCAGAATTCAAAGTTAATAGCCTGCTACGATTATTCTGTGCGGTTTTGGTTTATGTGATGACGATAAAGCCTCGAATGCTATCTGCCTAAGGGGAGGGATGCCTTTGTGGAGATGTCTAAGATAAACTGGATTGTATAGACGTTACACATGGATAAAACCACGGAAACACCTATATAGCCAGCCCGTTCGCAGGATTCGAACCTCCGACCGAATTACCAGTGTTCAGCGACTTTACCACTCGGCCGCTGGTGCGCCGATTATTATGTATGAATACGCTTAAAAAAATATGCAATGGAAAGTCTGATGTGTTGATATTTGATTGCTTTGGTAGTTCAGTGGGGCAGAATACGAGAGGGCTGTCTGCTTAAAAGGACAAATGCCCTTATGGGGGACATAAAAATTGTAAACTACATCAGAATTGGGTAGCCCATCGGTTAATTTCCTAGGATTCAAATCCTGGAGAAATGCATTGATGCAGAGGTTTTTTAGGTTTTACGCATATGTAAACGTGGATACAAGCAAGCTTTCCTTAAAACGTTCTCCGTGAAGGCTTATCTTCCCATAAGCAGATAGTCCTGTAGTTGCTTAATCAATTAACCAAACCTAGCCTAATCACCTGCAGATGCTGTGATCATTTGCCAGTTCAAAGCATAATTCCGTTGAAGGGATTTCTCATTTGTGAGTTACACAGATGGCAGTAATATTGATAATCGAGTTGGACTAGCTTATGCCGTTTTTCATCAGTTTTGAACTGGAATACACACTCTTTAGAATTCTCAATGAATGCAGTATTTTTCAAGCGGAATTATTGTGCATTAGTAAATGAATTAAGTGGGACAGCTAATTATTGTTCGTTAAGTTATAACTTTCTTATTTTCACTGGTTCTCATTTATCCTTGTGTTCTCTTGTGAGAATATCTTCTCCTGGAATAAATGAATTGTCCCTTCTTGTACGATTCTTAAAGATCTTAATAATAAAGACGTTGATGTTACCTTCTGTTATGTACCTGGCCACACTGGCAATCTAGGAAATGAAAGAGCTGATTGTTGGCGAAACGTACTGTTCAAATCTTCAAATTAGCACCACAATAACACTAAGTTATTCTTGATACAAAAATAGAATAATGCAGTTCTAAAGTGGAATGAATTATATAGGAGTTCTTTAGCCTGTCTGACTTGAATTATCTTTTCCTTCTCTTCCTAACAGACTCAATAATAAAGAATTTTTCTGAAGTTTTGATATAACTATATTTCTGAGTACGCTAATTTCAACTCGTATCTGTAAAGATACTGGTTATCTGGTACAGTCTTATGTTCCTGTAGCTCCGGAGGAGTGCAAAATGCCGAGCATTTGTTGTTCTACTGTTTGAAGCTTTTGGAAGGAGAAAGAACTCATTTCGTATGGTTATAAAACTCTTTAAACAATTGGTTACCTCTCGCTTTCCATGTGTTTGTTCAAGATAAAATGGCATTCTATTCGTTGTGGAAATTTTTTTCCTGCGTTTCATCTGTGAATTTGTAACTTTATTTTCATTTTGTGTTGTTGCATTTTTTCTTTTTGTGTGTGTGTGTTTAGCTCTGTGAGCCTTGTGTAATAATACTATGTGGTGAACAAGGAGTTTATCCTTAAAAAAATATGCAATGGAAAGCGAGACGAACTGCCAATTTGGCAGCGATCTCTTCTGGTAGACATTAGCACGCAACCAATATATTTGGAAACGTTTTCCGATATTTTCATTGTGATATTTTCAAATTCATTTATTATACAGGGTGACAGCTAATTCATAGTGCAAACATTGAGGGTTGGTACAGGAAGGAAGGACACTGTAACAATCACATTTTGTATAGGAATGTATGGTCAAAAGTGAAGCGACGAAGAACAAATGATAAAGTATTTTATTTTAATAACCTTGTTTACAAGTGGAATTAATTAAAATCAATTAATTAAAAATTAATTACAATTAATTTACAAAATGTGGTTGTTACAGTGTTCTGTACCAGCCCTCAAGGTTTATGCCATGAATTAGCACTCACCCTGTATATGAAGTAAATGTGATTTTAATGTCACGTTTAAACATATATCGGCATTTCCTTGTGAGGTTCGTTAGCTGCGCTCTGAAGATTTAGCTATTTTAAAGCCATAAATTCATTGGAGCCAATAAGGTGGAAGTAAAACCAGCTCAAACCGTCATGTCATAGAAATTGAAGCCGGAAACACATTATCTCTATTCAATGGCAAACTTCTTTGTCCGTTAAAATCAGCTGAATAATAAGCAGCCTCTATTGCTAAAAATTAGGGTATTTCAAAAAGAATGCATTTGACATCAGCATATGCGAGTGAAGAGTCTTAGTGTTACTAATCAGTTACACATCTGTAAGTTATACACAACAGATACTTTTGTAACATACTGGTCCACAGCAGGGGATATCCTACGCACAAGAGTTTCGAAGCATAATTAAATAATAAATTATGTATGATGGGATTTATTGGTTATGGCAAAACATACGAGATATGTCTGTCAGAAGAGGGATTCCTTCATGGAAAACTTTCTCAGGGAAACTGGCTTGTATTCATGTTGAAGAAACTCGCGTAACCAACAATGTATCCATCCCATTCGCTGGGATTTGAACCCGACTTGGGCAATCAGATAAAACTGCTAAACTAACGATCTTAAGCGATTTTATCCGCTCTATCTCTAGTGGGCCACCTTTCTAAAATAGTCCCAATCTTTATTTTACTGTGAATGTTAAAGCTTTATATCCTTATTAATTTATTTAGTAAATGTGATTGAAATACCTTTCCCAAAGTAATTATTTTCCTTAAACTGTATGAAACAGATCTGATTTATATAATAAATTCGATAAAATTTTGTTACTTGAAAAAAATTATTCAGCTGATAAAATTAGCAAAGAGAGCAAACTTTAAAGTTTGCTAACGCAAACAAATTGAGGCGTATTTTCCTCATTGAGTATTAGGTAATGTATTTTTCAATTTATCTTCCTGTGACAAGTAAAGGAATCCTTTTGAATAGGTGAATTTTGCTATAATATCTTCTCTTTATTGCGGATGTCGTAACTTGCTAAGTGGCGCAGAAATGAATATTTTGAATCGAAAAACTTAAAATATCTGGCGTTACAAACCTTTTTTATTAATTACGGTAATAGGGCAAATATTTATAAAATTATCAGTTAAGTATTATAAATCACATGAGTTAATTGCATTGTAAGTTACATCAATTAAAAATACTGATAAAAAAATGAAGCATTAATCTGTACTGTTTTGATTCAAATACTCAATTGAGCAATGTGTAGTTTTAATTTTAAATATAAATTCATAAATATTATATGATCTACGAAAACTCCAAGATTTCCTGCATATCATTGCTGATAAATGTAATAATTTCGTAAGTTAATGCACCAGTGGCCGAAATTGAAAGAAAGAACTACACACATTTTTAATGTAAAAGATCAAATTTAAGATTGGAATGAACTCAACACAAAGAAGGTTTTAGAATTCCCCTTGAGGTCATTTATTAGGCTTGTCGAGATTTGTAGTCGGACGGCCTCGGCTGTGCTGAGAAAGCATTCATGAACCAAATTCCTTACAGGCTGTGCGGCGGACAACCAGAATTCGACTATATCCTTCTCCAGCTTTAGGAAGTAGAGAAGGTCCGCCTAACCGAGTGAGGCCTGGAGGATTTGAGCCACAATTTAAAGTTCCAAAAATCATTTTTTGCATTGGCTCATTTCTTATGGAACATTCTGTATTCGTCTGCACCTCATAGTAGTTTTCATAGCAAGAATCGGTACATATTTTATTATTTTTATTAGTTATGTAGGAGTTCAACAGGTCATGAATCATTATAAGCAGTCATGATCTTAATCTGACATCCTTTTAATGACGAAATAAATATCCAGTCCAGTAATTATGTTATGAGAAGATAAAATATTGGGCATTCCACGTTCCGTCAGACTAAACGACAGTACGTGTTCAATCCAGCTGACGAACCAGGCCCAGAGATTCAGTCCCTGTCCTCGCACCTTGGAGAGGATTGACGCCATCGCCATTTGGCAACACTTTTGCTACCTACCAGTCACAGGGGCTGCCCGTCGCTCAAGGACATTACCCAGCAAAAACCCCGGGCTACTAGAATCTTAAACTCTAGGACCTGTCAGACCCACATGCCCACTGATAAGCAATCTTTCCGGGCCATTTAGAACCAGTAGCTTCGTTATTTGTATACCCCCGTGGCTGAGACTGCTTGGGTACAGATCCTTAGGCAGTAGCTTTGCAGAATTCTCTACGTCTACCCCCTGGGGTATGTAATGAGAAAAAAATTGGTACTTGCTTACTAACGCAACCACCTTAGTAGAAGTCGTCAATTAGAATGTGTCGTATGCTTTCTTTTTGTTGTCTTCCTATTTTCAATGTTTTTTATAAACAAATCGTGATATTGTTTCCTTAGCTTTAAAATATGAAGCTGTGGAATTAGCCAGTAATTGGAAAAACTGCGGTAAAATGGGTAAAATGTTTGCAGTAATGCTGAATTTTGCTGAAAATTTTCTAAGAGGGACGACGAAGAAATGAGTTTCTTATATAGCCGCTCTTTGCCGAGGGCTGCTCGAATCCGAATCACCGCAATTCTGTGTTTTCTAAGCGAAAACAGATCGCTGTGTACTTCGGAAGAAGAATATCGGGGAGAAGGGGAGGTACTACGGGAAGATTTCAGTAGGATTGTAAGTGTTTTATTTTTTAATGTATCACGCAATCCTTATTTATTAATTCAAATTTGTATTTTAAATTTCTAAAAGTATGTTTTGTTTTCGTATATTGATAATATTTTACCGACTTAGGATAAATATCGATAACTTGGGAATCTTTCTTAAAAAGCGCGAACACCATCAACTTGCTCCCCCCCTGATATGTAA